TAGCCTTATATTAACTGCAGAAACTGATGCATCCCAGAAGCGGCACGCAGCAAAAATAGAACCCTATTCCATCTTTAGCGGCGCGGCGTGCCACTTCGCGGACACACCTGGAAATAGTCGCGTTGCTGGTGGTTTAAACAGTGCAATGAATATAATGGATTCTATTTGAAGCAGTGACGTTTCGCTGCTGTTCCGCACCGCTGATGCTTTCAGTGTGAAACCGGGGTAAGCGTCTGAGAAAGGGGGAGTTTGAGGATTCTTTGATAATGCCCAATACATGCTTTGGTTTCTCATTTGTCAGAACTTATAAAGAACCACTCCTTAAAAGAGTAATGACTTCCTATATTCCTGAGTTCCAGCCTTTTGCATTGCAGCATTTTTTTACCGTGTCCTGCCAGTGTCGGTACAGGATCTGCTCAGGTGCAAGATCGGCTCGGGGTCCTTCGCCTGCTGATTATGTCAAAGTAGTTGATTGGCTGAACATGAACCTTACGGAAGTTATGTAATCACGTTACGTTGTTATCACGTTACGTTGGTCCAGGCAAATTTTTCTGTTGGAAAGATGGACGACTTTTACAAAGTCATTACCTCTTTGAAAATACACTTTTAGCATAGAGCTGCATGTATATTAGGGCTGAACGATTAACAACATGGGCAATTAAATTGCGATGTGACAAAAGGAGATTTTCTAATCGCAAAGGCTGCAATTTGGCAGTGAGTGGTTAGCGCAATGCTAATATAAATGAAAAAACTCATAGAAATGCTAATGCTAATATCACGATTACATTATTACAAATTATGAATTAGAAACATAACAAATGATTACATTTGGAGTCTAATAGAAAGTAAAACTACCATCAATCAAATAAGTACAGACAGGTATTTTAGTAAAGCCAGAAAACTTTTAACTCCTGAGTTTTGGCTAGCAGCTATGAGCGTAACTGAACTACGCATGGACAAGATGTTAAAAACTCTAAATACAAAATACTTCAATAAACGGGACACACTTGTTTCCTGCAAATACAATTTCACAGGTGTTGCTAGTACCTATGATCCTTCAAGGGATGTGCTCAAAGAGGAGTTCAACATTATAAATACAATGTAGTGTTTTATTTTTACAAATACCATTATAAACACAAACTTACGTCGTAAGAAACATTATTTTAATAACGAAACTGCTAAATTCTTTCCAACAGTATAAAGATGTGTAGTGTATTTTGTCCGAGTGGGTTTGCCGTACTTTGACGTCATCGGCAGTCGAAGGGCCCCGAGCCAATCTTGCACCCGAGCAGATCTTGTACCGACACCGGCTGTGGAGCAATCAGAACTGATGTCTGAATGCCTTAGACAAGCCTTGCAGTTTAATTCTCACAGGTTGTAGCTTCTGCTATAATCCTGATGCCAGAACTCTATTAGAAATATTTTCAGTTGTTCCCCAACAAGGGAATATGCAGGCAGACCGAGGCACATTGATGTTTGTACTTTGCTTTGTTGGAGGATGAGCATAGTAAATGGAATTTTTCCATATTGACCAGTAAGGCTAAAGCCTCCTCCCACATGCACTGAAGCTAATTAGGTAAGGGTTTTCAAAACATCCACATATCAATACATTGGAGCAGAGAGAGGATCATACCATTAGGACCATCGTGTGAGACAAAGATGCTTCAGGGTAACGTCAGAGTCAGACAAAAGTGACCACCTTTTAATAAATAAATAGCCTCAACTGTGTAGTAGACGTTTCTTATTTCTGTGATGTCCTTAACTGAGTCGTTTAGTACCAAATGTAGGTCATGTGCAGCACAATGCACATATTTGGTTAGTGGTTCTACCTCCTTTACACGAGCTTGGACCCCTGAATAGACACCACTCGTTTTTGCTGCGCTTCTTGTCCTCGACACTTTGCCAGGCTACAAATCCATTGCTTGTGATGTTGTCAAGGACTTTCTTTTTCAGTTCAGAAGCAGAAGTGTCCAGTGTTTGCTCAAACCCCCAAAAGGCCTCCCTAATTACAATATCTGTGGCAATATTGTTTTCATTTCTCTCAAAATGGACAAATCTATACACCTCACTCAACTGATCTTTATGGATAGGTCCTGTGTGGTATCCATAATGATGGAATAAAAAAGGGAGCACTCTGAATTTCATCCTGGATGATGGTCCAGACTTGGTATAGAATAAATATCTCCTAAGCAGATTTGTGAAGTTAAAAAAACACCAGCCAATCAGACCAATGTTTTCCGTCATCCCAGAGCTCGTACGGGCTTTTAATAACTTTAATTTTGTCTGCAATAAGCTTCTCTCTAAACATCCTCCTTTCTTTGGATGGTAAACTGTTTATATATCGGTATTTTGTGCATAAACTTTCGTCTCATATTGATAGCAGGCCATATTGTGTTTGTTGTTGCCATCCAGCCACTCGTGCATGCGCACAAAGATGAAAAAAGATGTCAACATAACTCGTTTTTATGTTTTTTTTTCTCTGTCAGTCGAAAGGGGAAACCTATGTACAAAATACCCAGCAATCGGCATGAAAAGCGTGTTGTAATTTTCATAAATTAAAAGTGAAACGATAATTCTAACTGCACGAATCTGCACAAAATAGCACTAAGGAATGAGACTATTTTGGACCGCTTTGGTGCACTCTGGGGATGGTGAACTTTGAATGACCTATAAAATTAGTTGTAATATCTCAGGAACCAAAGCAACTCAAACGATAGCTTTACCTGCACAAATGAAGCAGTAACTGTGCAGCCTATTTGCAACAGGTGGGTGGGGGTCAGCTTGACGCTGGTCTTCTCCTCTCGCTGCTCACTGTGCGCGTGCAATACGGAGTGATAGGTAATTTTAGATTTATCCCATATTACCTTAAAGGACGACACACACACACAGAGAGATTATATTGATTATTTGTAATGTCCATGTGCGCGGCTCAACATGCGAGACACTCTGCTCCAGCCTCAAAGCCTTCCTCCATCAGGAGACCAGAATGTTAGGTAATATTTAATCTGCATAACCCTGCAACCTGAAATAAACACACATGACAACAAGGAAGACATTTTACCCTGAGTCCCCAAAATATGGAGAGTTAACGCAAAGGAACCTCCTCCGAGGCTTCTCCACGTCACTCCCAAGTCTCAGTTTCCCAGGGGCTGTATTCTCAGCAAATGATGGGGGAGAAGGTGGGGCCTTCTCAGGTTACAAAGGTTTCAGTTGCAATCAACCTCCTTGCTCAACCTTTCATGAACAACAACAGTTGGCAAAAACAGAGATTCATGCAGTGTCAATAACACAAAATTGGCATCTTTTAGGCCTCAAAAAGGTACAATTATAAAAACACCCAACACGGAGGGAGCGTGGATTCATCCAGAACAACATTTAAACATCGAGTTGGTGTGAGGCTAAAGTCCAGAACCTCAGAACTTCTTCAGTGAGCTCCCTAGAGACTTGATTCCACACAAGCTGCAGGTGACCAGTTCAGGTTTAAACGGAGCAGAAGGAATGTGCGTTTGGGCTGCGGCAGGTGAAATGTTCCTATTTAAATGAAATCGCTTTATTGTTTATGTTACTGGGGCACGCTGTTCAGCTTGTTTGGACAAAGTATTCATAAAAATGAATGAAAAATTAACGGTATTGAATGATTATTTATTATTTAAAAAATGAAAGTGTCGGGATAAATTGGTCATGTGAGGCTATTTCTTTCTTTGTGTCAGAGCCGGCCAAAGGCATACACAAGTTAAGCGACTGCTTGGGGCCCCTAATGATAGTGGGTATGTTCCACATAGTGAAGCTAGGATTTATGGATTATCTGGTGTTCACTGGTTGGCATGGGAGGCCTAGGGCTGAACAATTTTAGGAAAAGATTGAATTGTAACTTTTCTAGCAGAATTTGGCATTTCGGTTCAATTCACGATTTTCTGCAAACAAAGGTCCAACACTAGCCTGCCAAGCCATCCTGTAGATTAAGTGAAAAGATGGTCTAGATTCTAATCTAGTAAAACAAATCATTCACATTAATATTTACTATTTAATCATACAATAGAAACAGTTAAAGCTATTAATATTTTCTCCCATTATTGTCTTTTTTTATGTGTTTGTGAAGCGACTTGTGCTCTGGATTTTTATCTAGAGAGGAGTTTTTTAAAAACATGTTCTACTCTAAAAATGCATGGAGGAAATCTGTAGGTAGAAATAGCTTTTAAACGTATTAAATAACAAGAAATGCACAGTTTTCCTGCATTACCGCGGCAGGCTGGCTGCACGTTTTTCGAAGCCGTCTGATAGTTTTTCCTTACTGAAACGTCAGCTCCATGAGAGACGCACTCATTCTGATACCTTAGCTTGTTTGAGCTAACGTGTGCTGTCAGAAACATTCAAACCATTTGTAAAAGAGAAGTTGAGCCAAGCTTTAGAAATCAGTCTGAACCAGCTGATGTGGGAGGAGTCTCTCTCTCCTTTACTCAACTACGTTCTCTCTCTGTCCCGGGTTCACCTACGGTGCCATTATTATCGGCTCTAGCAGCGCTTTGTGTGGGAACATAACCTGAACATGCAGCTCTGACAGCTGTGGAGTTGGGCTCAGCTCTGGATGGTACACCCCACCCCCCTCCCCCGCGATGGCTTTTGCCGCTGCCATAACACGGAGGGAAAACCCCGGATGTAAAATACAAGTTACACAACTGATCCTGGATCAGTCAAAACCGCTAAAACCGCAGCTTTGATGGTCACATGATTGTGCTGTTTGAAATCGCTATTTCGGTCCAAAAACGGCCCTAGGGTGGCCCCAAAGGAAAACCTGCATAGGGTCACACAAACGCTTGGGCCGGCCCTGCGTTGTGTCGCAGTGATGGACTGGAGACCTGTCTAGGGTGTCCCCGGCCTCTTGCTTAGTGAAAGACACCAGCTCCCCAGAGCGAAGGTCAAAGGAACTGTCTTAGTGAATCTACAGAACACTTTCTTTAAGAAGTTCTGATGGTCTATTCTCTGTTATTTTGTATTTTCAGGTGGACTCCATCACTACTTCCCTTCGTCTCCACTTTATCTGTCTGTGTGTGTGTGTGTGCGTGTGTGTGTGTGTGTGTGTGTGTGTGTGTGTGCGTGCGTGCGTGCGTGCGTGCATGCGCCGCTGTTGAGCAGCATGTCTGTTTGTTGGCCAGCAGCACAAGTAGCATTATGATGGAAGTCAAGGAGCAACGTCCATACTGTTCACTCAGCAAACACCGAAAAGACAAGAAGGGTCAGTCCATAATACAAATACACACACACACACACACACACACACACACTCACACACACACACAGAGCTTCTTTTTTGTTGTGTATTTTATTTAAGATTTTTTTATTTTTATGTGACAGCAGACTGAAGAAATCTGAGCATGGGGAAACGTTTTGAGGTTTTTGTGTGTTTGATGACAGAATGTCAGTTCCTCATTTGCATCCGCTCTGCACGGCCCGGGCGGCCCCGGCCCGGCCCGAGTGATTCCTCACATCCCTGCTCCGGAATGCGGGCATGACGGAGCATGTGGGTGGTCTCCACAAATCGGTGCGACAAATTGGTAGCCTGGCCTGCCAGACTCCTCCTCAGTTTAATTCTGCACAGAGAAAGGGTCTGGAAACTCTATTCAAATAACCCCACCCCTTGAGAATTCTAACCGAGCCAATCAGCGCTGAGTAGCGTACGTCACACACCACAACGCCGAGTTTGTCGAACATGGCAACTGAAGTGGAGTTTGCTGCAGCTCTTTCCTCTGTAATAAATGATTTGGACACAACTAGTAGAAGCGCTAAAAGCCTTTCTTCTGAAGAAAGATGTTTGCGCTGTCGCCAGACGCTATTTTTGACCACAGCTAAGAAACTACAGCGTCTGGGGCGTCACACACAGGGACGCTCAGTTTCTCATAAACAACAAAGACCGCGGCGAAGTTCGCTGCGGCTCTTTCCTCTCTTCTAAATGACTCTCCATCCATCCATTCATCCATCCATCCATTTTCTGAACCCGCTTGTACACGTAGGGTCGTGGGGGTGGGGGTGGGGTGGGGGGGTTTGCTGGTGCCTATCTCCATCGGTCAATGGGCAATCAGGCGGGGTACACCCTGGACAGAGAGCCAGTCCATCGCAGCTTCTAAATGACTAGAATGTCTTTAAAACCACAAGTAGAAGCGCTAAAAGCATTTCTTCTAAAAAAAAAAAGATGTTTGCGCCGTTGTCAGATGCTATTTTTTTATTACAACTAGAAAACTACAGCGTCGCTCGGTACAGTCGGGATTTCCATCTTTTTTCTGATTGGTTACTTTGAGCTGCCTAGTCCGGCCCCCTTAAGTGCCTCTCTGCCTGTGAGTTACCAGACTAGTTCTCTGTGCAGAATTAAACAGAGGACGAGTCTGGCAGGCCAGGCTAACAAATTGGTACAAAGATATCGGTGATGTCATACATGAGTGAACTGTGTACATAAGCCAGCTTGTTTTGCTACGTGTGGAGTGTAGTAAACAATGGAGAAAGTCGTGGTGTTAATTTATTGGGTTCTGCTCTTGTGGCTTGTTGTGGGGGCCAGACTCTGCACCAGACAGGCCAAAAGGCGTCGGCTTTTCCAGCTGAGGAAGGAGGAGAGACGGAGTAATTCTGCAAACTATCACAGAGCCCTGCAGGAAGCCAGTAGAAAGCAGCAGAGGACATTGCTGCGACTATGACAACGCATCCTGCTAATTGCTTTTATTCTAAATCTAACGTGAGCGTTTTAGACACTTTGTTTCATTTGTTTTAGGTAGCTTTTGTAGAACGCTCCAGCCGCATACGTGCAGTCTGGTCACTCAGGCGATCCTCTGACTGGTGGGATAATTATATGCTTCGTTACACCGAAGTGCATTGGTTGAAGCACTTCAGGATGTCCGAAGAAACGTTGATTGTCTTGTGCGACAGACTGCGGCCAGCATCTTCCATGTGCCTCTGAGGTAGATTGTGGTTACTGCTTTGTGGAAACTTGCCACAGGTTCAGATTACAGACCCACCAGTGTTTTGTTTGGTGTTGGCATCTCAGCCTTGGCCAAGTGTGTCAAGGACTTTTGTGCCGCAGAAATAATTTGAAAGGATGAAATGTTAGCTGTAGGATTAACTACATACTAGAATCAGCACTGTTGCTATTCAGTTGGAGATTCTGAGAATGACCGAGCAGTTTAGCATATGAGTTTATCAGGGGCGGATTTAGGACTGAAGAAGATCCGGGGCTTAACAAACAAACACACACACACACACACACACACACACACACACACACACACACACACACACACACACACACACACACACACACACACACACACACACACACACGTGACACACACTAGTCAACATCATATATATATGTCTTGTACCACATAATTTTTAATCTGAAGCTACATATTAAGCATTTTCAGGGCAGAGTATTGTTCCTGTTAGTGTTTAGTGTGAGATGATAGTGAATATTCCCTTTTTTTCTCCAACAACTAGTAAGCTAACTTTAGGCAAACCAGCAGCACAACAAATATTTTCAAATAAGGCCACAAACCTGAGTCAACACCAGACTCATCAAAGCTGGGGTTCTGTCGCCGTACTTTTTGTCTAAAAAACGTCCTTATGTCCATCTTCACTCATGCGTTTCAGGCAGAGTGTAGAAGAAGCCGGCTGCTGAAGGGCTTCTTCTTCAGTGGTGGAGGCTCAGGCAGGCTGTATACAAACTACTGCCAGCTGCTCCCTCTCTGTTGGACTTTGGTACTGCATGTTACTTCCGCGATTTAGATCCGGGGCTTTTCATAAAACATCCAGGGCTTCAGCCCAAGTAGCCGGGCCTAACGCCGCCCCTGGAGCTTATATCATGTATAAATATCCAAGATACTTATATAATCAATAGAAGCTCATACACCAATTCACTTGGTCTATTTTTAATCCAAAGATTAATGTTTAATTTAGATAATTAAATTTAATAGCGAAAGTTTATTTTGATTCAGAAGCTAGGAATCTTTGCTTTTCAATAACCAGAAATATTATTCCTTTCTGTGTTTCGTTCTAATAATGAGGCAAGTTTAAAAATGAAGAAATTTTATTCCTAACAATTTTAAACTTTACGATTTGAACGACAATTTAATGACAATTCATGGATGACAATATGATGACAGTTTTTAACAACTTTGATATTAAACTTGTTTTAAAAAGCAAACCTGTGGCTGGATGAAAGCTAAATTGGAAATACGAGTTTGGATGCATGAATGGAATTCTCAGAAGGTTTCTTTCAGAAAGAGGAAAGCGTTCTGGATGGAAATGATGTTTTGCGGCTAACTGAGTTGTTTACTTAGAGAAAACAGCATCAAACGCATTCCTGTGTGCTACCTCACCCAAACAGGAGACCCTTTTGTGGATCCGGAGATCAGGAGGATGGTGTCCATCCAGGGTACTCGGTCCGGCAAGAAGACGCGAGTGAACCGATCCTCTGGTCCAGAGATGTCGTCGGGTACACAGTCGAGCGTTTGGCTTAACTCTGAAGAAGTTTCTCGTCTTAACTCAGAAATCAATAACTCTGTAAGGAGTTTTTCGTCAGCTGGTTACAGTTTACGTTTATTCTTAGCTATTCTTGTCGGCGTGACAGAACAGCTTGGCAGAGGGTCAGGGCGGCCTTTCCCGTCTCCTCAGGATGGTGTTGGTTCAAGAACTGACGTGAAAGCTGGTGATGGTTAGTTCACAAAGCTCTCAGAACACACCCCCTCTCAGCAAGAAAGCTTTGGTCATGCGTCAAAAATGTGTTGGCAGTTATTGTTTACTCTGGATAAACTGTGTTAGATGGATAAGGTGGAACTGACCTTCTTTGCTGAACACATTACTGTCATCAACCATAATCATAATTATAGTAATCATTATTATATCCAAAGCATAATCATTCCTTTCATGTAATTAAAATACCTTTATACTGAACCAAGTGATCATTTATGATGATTATAATAAACAGTAATGAAATCAAAGAGTTTATTAATATTATTATTTAATTGTTATCGTGAACTTGGAAGTGTCCTTCTTCTGGGATGGAACAGCAGCAGATAGTGGTGATGTTCTTCCAGACATTATGGCTCCTCGGTTAATCTGTGGATTTAAAAGTACTGTTTGACCCAGCTTGACCCAGCTGGGTAAATGTGACCTTTGCCACAAATTAGAGGACCTTCCGTGATGCTACATAGCATAGATAATATGTTAACAAAACCTAATTATTGTCTTAGACAATTGTGATTTCTGATGGTCCTTTACTCGCTGGAACAGTTTGGCCTAACTGCCCAGCTCGCTGGAGCTGAAAATTGAGGAAGTGATACCTATTTTACAAAAGTTAACGAGTTAGATGTGGGCGTTTACCAAGGTCCATCAGACACCACTTCACTAGAAGAGGTTATTTCCCTTAATGTGAAGTAAAAATGTTAAACATTCATAATAATATACCAATATTAATGTGTGAATATACTGATAAATAAATCAGTATTCAATTGAACAAGTAGACTCATAACTTAAGGTCTGACAGAAATCATTAGAAGAATAGACAATTATGTGGATTTATTCATCAGTGTAATACAGTCAGGACATAATCAAATTTACTTTAGAATAAACATTCATTGATTTATTTAATTGTTCCTAAGCTGTAAAGTGAAGAATCATTTTATGAGACAAAAATAAGATATCTTTCATTAAACGGGGTTAGATAAAAGTCTTGTAGAGGCGTCTTGACACCTCCTGATGTCAGGGCGACACGACCTGTGTCGTGGCAGAAATTTAACTTTGGACCATTGGATGAATAACATGGCCTCAGCCACGCTACAGCTGTGATATCAGTCTGATGTGTTCCATGATTTGGACCTGCTGTGCCCTGCATAATATTTGTGAGAGCCATGGGGAGAATTATGACAATGTGTGGACAACTGAAGCAGAATACCCTGAAATGGTGACTGCACCACCACCGCCACAATATACAGGCGATGTGGGAGGGAAAGCAAGGCGGGATGCTTTGATGATGCACCTGCTGGGGCAGAAGGAGCTCCTTTATTCACCACCACCACCAACCAAAAATTCTAAATATGAGCCAATATATTTGATGAGTTCTTATTCAGCCATCTGTGGAGTGTACACAATTTAGCTTTTGATCCTTCTCAACACTCCTGCTGACAATATAATAACCTAATCTTGTCTACAAAGATACCTATACTGAATATACACTCACCTAAAGGATTATTAGGAACACCATACTAATATGGTGTTTGACCCCCTTTCACCTTCAGAATGGCCTTAATTCTACGATGCCCAATTGGCACTAAGGGGCCTGAAGTGTGCCAAGAAAACATCCCCCACACCATAACACCACCACCACCAGCCTGCACAGTGGTAGCAAGGCATGATGGATCCATGTTCTCATTCTGTTTATGCCAGATTCTGACTCTACCATTTGAATGTCAACAGAAACTGAGACTCATCAGACCAGGCAACATTTTTCCAGTCTTCAACTGTCCGATTTTGGTGAGCTGGTGCAAATTGTAGCCTCATTTTCCTGTTTGTAGTGGAGATGAGTGGTACCCGTTTGGGTCTTCTACTGTTGTAGTTCATCCGCCTCAAGGTTGTGCATGTTGTGGCTTCACAAATGCTTTTCTGCATTCCTCGGCTGTAACGAGTGGTTATTTCAGTCAAAGCTGCTCTTCTATCAGCTTGAATCAGTCGGCCCGTTCTCCTCTGACCTCTAGCATCAACAAGGCATTTTTGCCCACAGGACTGTCACATACTGGATGTTTTAGCCTTTTCACACCATTCTTTGTAAACCCTAGAATTGGTTGTGGGTGAAAATCCCAGTAACTGAGCAGATAGTGAAATACTCAGACCGGCCCGTCTGGGACCAACAACCGTGACACACTCAGAATTGCTTAAATCACCTTTCTTTCCCATTCTGACCTTCAGTTTGGAGTTCAGGAGATTGTCTTGACCAGGACCACACCCCTAAATGTATTGAAGCAACTGCCATGTGATTGGTTGATTAGATAATTGCATTAAGGAGAAGATGAAAAGGTGTTCCTAATAATCCTTTAGGTGAGTGTATTCCTATGTAAATCACAAAGCAGAATAAAGCAAATACTTAGATGCTCATCCAAGGCTTATATATTATATTAGTACATATATTCTTATATTGAAACTATAATTGGACCCTACAATTCCACATTGTATAAGGCACAGTAATGGTTTAAATGCTGCAAGTTCACAGACAAAAACTTTATTGCACTTCTTTTTAAAAAACATATCCAGCTCATCTGTGGACCGCAGAGACCAAACATTGCAGTACATCTAGAATTTGTGCTGTTCTTTGTTCTTCTCTCATCTTTCATCATCCCGTCTTTTCTTTGCCATCTGTCTTCCTTCCGAAATTTGATCTGCTCTACCATTAGCGAGTTCAGCTCCCTCGTAGCCTCAAGGAACCCCTCGTCACTCTCAACCTGCCTCTCCATCAACGGGGACACGATACTGGTCGTCTGCCTCCTTTTTCCTGAAGAAACGCCCAAAAGATTTATTTGGGATTCCATGTGCTTGTCATATTGTGCTGCCGCTTTTGCAAATGAACCCACCCTAGGTTTCTCTGTTCTCCACCGATGACGCTGAAATGCTTGGGTATGTGGCTGGGGCCGCTGTCACCTGGTGAGGGTCCAGCGTTTGTGTCCCCGGCACATCCAGATTCTCACCGGTGAACAGTTCCAGAGTAATGTCATCTTTAAATAGAAAACATTAAATAACTTCATTTGCACAAACACAAAATGTGTAACGTAACTAAACCAAGACAGGAACAGTCAAGCTTGACCAGTAGGCATACCACAACTAGCCTGAAGTTAGCCTAGCCTATTGTCCGTACTATTTGAGTTACGCACAAATGGCAGGTCGTATTTTTAATCATTATGACAACTCACCGTTGTTCAGAGCGCCAGTAGAAGCTGGAGTGGCTGTGTCCACGCCACTCTCCAGGCCATTACTTACAGTACAGGCCATTCTTCGTAAATGGCGTCCATCTTTGCAAACCTTTTCCAGTGCCGCCGATCTGCCCCGCTTCTGTTGTTGTGGTCCTTGACGGACCTGTACTCAGCTTTAAGGGTTTTTAAAACTTTCACGGCACTGCATGGAGGTGCGTTTGTAGCCATGAGTGGACATTGCTCGTGCAAGCTCCGGAAAAATCTTTTCGTTCCGCATAGAACCGTCTAGTTCGTGCTGGATTCTGTTGTCGGTGAGCAAAGAGAGGAAGGTTTTAACCTCCTCATTTCTGCAGGGGATTGAAGCTGAGGTCTGGCAGCAGGGCGAAGACATAATGCTGTAGATGTCTGGGATGCTGAAGACACGCTAGAAATGACAATGCTGAACTTTGGGTTTGGTTGGGATTGGCACGAATCTGTGACATCACTACACATACAAAATGTATACACCCCAAGGCCAATCAGAAGTTTTGATTTTCAGGTCAGTTGACCAATCGGTGCAGTGGGCATGTTGGACCTGGTTGACCTGAAGAGAACAGGTCTAAAAACCATCCCTGGTGTGCAGGGAAAAATACCAGTCCACCCAGATCTGTAAACAAGTTAAGCTATCCATGCGGGGCAGACCGGGTACAAGTGGGAATGGCCTATAAGACGATTTGAGCTGTCCTTGCTTTGTGGGGATGCTACTGAGGAGGAAAGCTGAGATTTAGTGGACATTTCTTGTTGGTTCTGTGTGACTGATTTTATTAGTTGAATGCTGAAGCACAATGTGAGAAGCATTTACTGCTGTGTGGGGAATTGTTCCCACTCATGATATGGGTTGGAAGTTGTGCTCACACACAGAACTTGGACCAAGGTTCTGAGGAACACTGTTTTCACACATCAGTCAAAGTTAAAATAAAGTTGGTGTGGCCATGTTCTCAGCTATGACCTGAAGTTCCTTCTCTGGAAGGATTCTCATTGAGTTCTGGAGTGGTTTGGATTTGGAATAGAGAACACAGCAGACCTGCTAACAGGCCATTTTCCCCCTCTGTCCAAAGTAAATTTCTCCCAAGGGGTTCAAATAAAGATATTTTGACTTTGGGCTGCACAGTGGCGCAGTGGTTAGAGCTGTTGCCTTGCAGTAAGAGGGTCCCGGGTTCGCTTCCCGGCCTGGGGTCTTTCTGCATAGAGTTTGCATGTTCTTCCTGTGCATGCGTGGGTTCTCCCCGGGTGCTCCGGCTTCCTCCCACAGTCCAAAAACATGACTGTTAGGTTAATTGGCCTGTGAGTGTGTGTGCATGATTGTTTGTCCTGTGTGTCTCTGTGTTGCCCTGTGATGGACTGGCTCTCTGTCCAGGGTTAGGGTTAGGTTAGGGTTAACCTGTCAAATGGTTTGATCTTTTGACTTATTCCATGTCTTCATGTGTATGTAACTGTGTCAGGTTGTTCAGGAGACAGTGAGGACTGTGCTGTTGGCTCCCAAGGTCGAGTCCCAACTCAGAAGTCCTACTCATCAAGCGAAACACTCAGAGCCTTTGATCAGCTCCAAGACCAGACCAGGTTTGTAGGTGTATCCCTAAAGGTCAACTGTACACATATTTTAATACATTTGCAGTAGTTTCTAGCAGGGATTAAGTCGTCCTCGGGGAAGAAAAAGCTCCAATGCTCCTATTAAAGAATATAGGATTCTGCCAGAGGAGAAAGTAGCCTCAGACAGCAAGATTTGGAGTCTTATTTCCTGATATTTGGACATCTCACCTCAGATTGACTAAGAGCAATGCGACTCTATACCACAGACGATCTCTGCTGTTTCCTGATTGCTAAACCTCCAACAGCCTACCCCGTCATGAGTCAAGACGGGTGACTTCATGAATGTTAAGTGACAGTGTGACGAAGATCTGACTGGCTTTTCTGAACCGAGCATTTTCCCATCTATTTCCTATCAGATGATAATGCAAGAGGTATGTATAGAAGACAGTTCTCGTTCAGCCTGCATTAAGAAAAAAATTAAACCGTTTCTCAGTAAACCTGGTCTTAAACTGGGAGTCAAGGGATGGGTGGAGACTTATTTCAACTAGACTTCCTGTTAGAAAAGTACATGGTAAAAAGGTGTTGCCTGGAGTACTGAGAGAGTGGCACTGAGGCAATTATTGGCAGCACCCCTCAACCCCCCCGCGTGTGCTCTTGGAGGTTCTCAGTTACGAGCACACAAAAAGCAGACTCACTGCTAAGGAGAGGAGCAGACACCGACACTGAGTGCAGGAAGGAAAGATTTCCTGTTCACCTCTTTCATTAGAAAAAAGGGGAAGAGGACATGTTTCTTAAGGAGACGAGCAGCTCCAAGCGCCAACGTGTCATATCAGCAGGTGAGTGGTTGAGCCAGGTGGAGGTACAGCAAGACTCAGCAGGAGTCCAGTGTAGTGCAGCCATGTAGTACAATACAGACAACGTCACCCTGCAGCGCTACAGTAATCAGCTGTGGCTGATTCAAAATCAGCGTGGAGCAGAGTTTTAACCTGAAGATGGAGCTATTTCTGTTTTGCCTGATATAATAAATTTAAAGTAAGTTGCACTAAGCTACCAAAATAATGATTAAACTTGTGTACATCTGTATAAGACACTTATCGTTACCCTCGGTTAACTGGGTAGAGATTAAAAGCTGCTTTTGTATCTACTACATATAATTAGTTCAGGATATCTGAAATGTTTTATTTTCGTTATTGTTGTTAGCAAACAACATTGTGCATCCTTTTAATGATTTTCTAAAGCATTTGAAACTGTACACCTCTCTGATGGAACTAAAAGCTCGTAAAACCCTTTTAAAATGACAGAAGGTGTGCCACCAGGCTCAGTGTTGGGCCCCCTTCTGTTGGTACTCTGTAAAGGATATTTCACATGTGTTTGATGCAAAACAATGCTGACAATGTGCTCTGTTGTCCTCTAACTACACCCGAACAAGGTGTTTAAAAGTTGTTAGTTGTTCATAACACAGTTTAGTTTATCTTTAGATGTTGCACTGATACTGTTGTTTTATGACACTTTTATTTCACAGTTTTTCTCTAATTCTGTCCCATTAATCACTTAAATGAGTAGCAAAATAAATGAGAATTTATGAAAACTTGTTTGATGTTCAGAGTTTCTGATTAATTCAATCACATAACAATTGAACTTCTCAGCAGATCGGGACTAAACATAATAAGCATTGATGATTAATTAACAGTAAATAGTTTGTTATATTTGAAATCATTCTCTTAAGTTTAGAATTTTGAGACATCTGTTTTTCTTCAGCAACATGTTTTTTTATAAACGTGGTATATAAATATTCTGATTTAAAAATGAAATTACATCCATTTCTTAATAAATATCATGGTGTGGGTAAAAACATTTGATCAACATTTCAGTGTAACGATGAAGGTGGAATTTGGCTTTTACAACCTGACATCTGATTCACAACATCTAAATGTTTTCGGATTTTTCTACCTGGAGGTGGTAAAGAAAAAATAAGTGAACAAACTGGTGTTGTCACACACACTTAAGCCCAGACTTTGACCTGCTTGTGAGCATCCTTTGTTACCATGGAGATCCAGCACAAATAAAACCTCCTTTCCAGTAAATAAAACTGATTTCATCTCCTGATACTGTCCTAAATTAGAAGCCTCCACACCATCTAATCATGCCTGATTCAATAGCTGGTTTACCTACTCAGCAGCTCAACAAGTTCTGCAAAGGCCTGTTATTAACCTACTGAATACAGACAGGTGTGCTGGTGCAGAAAACAAGTGTGTTGGATAGAGGCTCTGGAAGACCAGGGCTGGAATTGACATGGATTTACAGTAAAGCTCTAAAGCAACACAGAAACAGATCTCTGACTCTGGATTCCCAACAGGCTGCTGTACAGCACCACCAGGAGGTACAAGGGCATGGTTCAGCAGGAGCAGGATAGTTACAGCAGTCAGGGTGAGTGTCCACACACACACACACACACACACACACACACACGCGCGCGCGCACATCAAGCCCCCATGATCCTGGGATGAACATGAAGCCAACACAGTGGCAAAACTTGCAGTTCCACCTGCATCCACTAGGGGCTGGCACCAGAAGTGAGCAAATCCTCATTGACTCTCATGTTAAAAATTCCAATTTCACAGCAGAAATAAACATGTTTACAGCCTGGTCTAAAACCCATTTCAGGTTTAAGAGATCTAGTTTACATTCATGACAACTCGGGGGGGGGGGGGGGGGGGGGTCTATTTTATAACTCTTCTGTTTAAGTGAAAATAAATGCTTAGAATTCTGACTACTTAATAAGTGGGAATTTGCCCAACCAGTCTACATGTGTTTTGTTGATTTGAAGAAAGCATTTGACCGCATCCCTCGGGGGGCCCTGTGGGGGATACTCCGGGAGTATGGGGTACCAGGCCCTCTGATGCGGGCTGTTAGGTCCCTGTATGACCGGTGTCAGAGCTTGGTCCGCGTTGTCGGCAGTAAGTCGGGCTCGTTCCCAGTGAGAGTTGGACTCCACCAAGGCTGCCCTTTGTCACCGATTCTGTTCATAACCTTTATGGACAGGATTTCTATAGGCATAGCCAAGGTGTGGAGGGCATCTGTTTTGGTGGCCTGAGGATCAGGTCTACCTGTTTTGTCGCTACGTTTCGCCGGCGGCTGCAGGCTTCCTCAGGCTGACGCTGATGGTGGCGCGTCACTTCCTTCTCCGTTTATCCGCGGGCAGCAGAGGACGTTGTCGCCCTCTACTGCCAGCTCTCCCCTCTCCGACGATGCAGTCAGCCATAACAGATCACTGCATAAGAGAAAACCATATAATTGACTGGGACTACACAAGGATCATAAACATTGAACAACAAAAATACAAAAGATGGATTAAAGAAGCAAATGAGATAAGGAGACGTGGATGTGGGACCACGAACAGGGACGACGGAGTGTACACGTTGGACCGCACATGGGACTGCATCGTCAGAGAGGGGAGAGTGGGCAGCAGAGGGCGACAACGTCCTCTGCTGCCCGCGGATAAACGGAGAAGGAAGTGACGCCACCATCAGCGTCAGCCTGAGGAAGCCTGCAGCCGCAGACGAAACGTAGCGGGAAAACAGGTAACGAAACCATTTCTGTGTTTTAAAAAGAACGACAGCATGGAGTCCAAGATAATTTCTTTTCAATCTGACTCCTGAAGGTGTATATACCAGCAACCAGAAATATCTGTTACATATACTTTTGATGATTGCTAGAAAAATGGTGACAATGAAATAGATGAATGTTCAGCCACCCACAGTGGCGTCAGAGGTCGAGGGAGGTTTGTGGAAAAATACTGGGTACCGCTTAGCTACAACTAAGATTTGATATGTTGAAAAGGAGATGGCTACCCATAGAAACATACTTCTCTGAGTTGAAATCCACATCATGTGGTGACATCCTGTGTTTACCTGTTCTCTCAATCACTATGTATCAGTTAAAGGTATCCTTTCTACCTGTTTCTTAATGCGATGTCAGTGTAAACGTGACTATGTTATCTGAAAATGTACAATTTTGTTTTTCTTGATCTTGAAAAAGAAGGAAAAAACAAACAGTAAAAGAAATTGTCCACCAAAACATATAAAGACAAATACACACACACACACACACAAGTTCACACACTCATACACAAACACACATGCAGCTGTGTTTTTATTTATTTATTTATTTTTATGTGGAGTTACAGTTTTGTTCACTTGCATTTGTAAAACATTCCTAAGCATGGAAAACTTTAAACTATCAGAAACAATTAAAACAAAAACAAAAAAATCAGCACAACACCCTTGAAATTTATTTTGTTTAAAATGTGACTTTCATTGCTATATTCAGTTTTACTTGAAGGTGCTATGTTTTAGAATTTTATTTATATTTTGGGGAGAATTTGTTCCTAACAGTTTTGGAATATAGCTTGAGGAGTTTTATCTGCTTGGCAGCTTTAACATTTGTTGGAGTAAAGCATCCATTTGGAGGTTAATTAAGATTTTTAAATTGTTTCTGTTTCTGTTGCAGGTCAGCATTTCCGTCTCCGTCAGCTGGGGATCTGTGAGCCACCGCCTCGCTGTAGCATTCCTTTTTGCTCTGATATTGGTCTTCCTCACCGTGGCTTCTCTGTGGGTCCAGCGCATGACCTGGACACCAACAATCAGTCTGTGATGTCCCCAGAACAAGCCATGCAGCTGTGGGGCCACGGAGGTCTGGGTAAATCTTCTGGGAGGAGTTCCTGCCTGTCCAGCCGTTCCAACTCAGTGCTGACCCTCACTGATACCGAACACGAGAACAAGTCAGACAGTGACAACGGTAGGACAGTCTTTGGTAGTCATGTCTTTTATTATCACATTACCTTTTTAAATTGTCATCATTAGTTCAATCAGCCAAAGGAAACCGGACGCATTTCATTGTGTGTGTATATGTGTGGGGGGGTGGGGGGGTGGGGCAATGGTGGCTGGTGATTTTTTTTATTTTTGGGGTGGGGTGCAGTTTTGCCATCAGTTTTCAGATGCGTTGACCACATATCACCACTCATCATTTTTTTCATTTATCTGCTCAAAAGCATGACGTTTTCAAGAAGCACACGGATAAGAAATCTGTTAATATTACACAAATGTTTAAAAGTAGCAACGTCGTCGCTCGTAGTAGCATCAATGAGCTGCTGAGTGCTGGGCGTTTCCGCGGCAGGGAAGCACTGGGCCGAGCTGAGTGAAGTTGGCTTCCAACCCAGAAATACATGCAAATAGATTGGTTAGAGCCTTCTGATGTAGGTGGGGAGCCAGCTTCACTTAGTTGCTGGGGCTGGTCTACTGAGGACAGGCAGACAACAACAGCAGCGCTGCTACTTTTAATTTTTGTGAGTGTTACGGATCCTGGGCTCACACACCTTGAATGGCCCAATCCTGCTCCCTCAATGCTGTTCAGGACCTTGGACAGGTCCTCCGTCAGGCTGGCCTCCGCCTCGGCCCGCCCACTCTGCACCAGCTGCGGACAATCTCCTGATGATGAAATGCTAGTGAAAAGGACTCTGGTTTCAGTTTCTCAGAGAGAGATTCACAGCTTAACACCCTGTCTTTCTCTCCTCGGTTTTGATCTTAGAGACAAACGACTTAGATTTGGTGAAATTCGATAAAGAACGTGAATAAGTATGATAATTAAGATAGATTGTTTCCGTTTGTGTCACCATCGAGTATTATTAGTCGTTTTCATTTAGTGATCCCGTTTTGTCTGCCATAGTGCTTGAATTTCAGTTTGTTTTCCGCTTTAGAGCTCGCATTAAGTTTTGTTTGTAATAATATCTAGAATAGAGATAGCCGTCGAGATTTGTTTTAGTTAGTTAGTTCCGGCATTTTTCGTTTGCTTGTTAGTTACCGATATTCCTGTGTTTTCTTCCCTGAGATCATTTGTCTCAGATGTTTTGAGTTTTCTCTGTCGCCTTCATTAATTGTAGCCGTTTTGTATTTTCCAGTCAAGGACTGTGTATTTTGGTTAAAATCTGTAAAATAAACCCCTTTTATTTACTCTCACCCCTCCTTTCTCCGCATCAGTTTTTATGTTACCCCGTGCCACAACACAAAACACCTAGGGTTTGTAACAGTGAGACAGGCAGAAATGAGCATTTTGAGCATAGTTTTCGTCTAGTCTCGGCTTGTTAACGAAAAGTCCTGGTCGTCTCGTCATGTTTTAGTCACCAACGAGCTATTTTTCGCTCGTCAGCATCTCGTTTTCGTATTGTGTTAGAAAATAATACTGCACAGCACCTATACTCCGTATGAAGTATAGATCATTTAGTTTACTTTTCCTGTTTTTTTTAAATATTTTGTGACTTCTATCTTCTTCTTTCTCTTCCTGTGAGACTGGTGGGGCGGCGCCCTAGTGCCCCCATGAACGGACCACCACTGATGTTTGTGTGTATGCCTTTGGGTGTGTGTGTGTGTGTGTGTGTGTGTGTGTGTGTGTGTGTGTGTGTGTGTGTGTGTGTGTGTGTGTGTGTGTGTGTGTGCTCTCATCTATACATCAAATTGAGCTTTTTACATCCAAACTGAGAACATTAGTAGCAAAGTGAGAACATTTTGCTGGTCTCCACTTTGATACAGTCTTACAGAGCTCTACTCGTTCGTTTTAGAGATATGGTTTCATTAAGTTTTAGTTAAGGTTAGGAAAAGATGGGATATGGTTAGAGGTAGGGTTAGGCACAATCCAGTCACTAAAATTAATTGAAGTCATTGATGATCCTCACAACAAATGCTAGATGAGAATATGTGTGTTGACATCTACTGGAGAAGCTGAAGCTAATAACATTTCTAGCATTGAGGCTAATAAAAAGTGCTAGAGTACATGCAAGAATATGGCTTTTTGGGTAAATGACGAATGCCTACACTTGTGAATTGCATTTACAAGTCAAGGAACTCAAAGCGCTTTACAGTATAATCAGTGATTTACCCACTCATACACTGATGGTGACAGGGGTAATTCTAGGATCAGAGGTTTTGTGTAGCACAGCACTCAGAGAGTTGCCTGGCCAGGCAAGATATAGGTCGCTGTTTCGTATGTCAACACCATTTCATTCTCACATTTGTGAAAGAAAACAAAAAACACTTTTTTCGCAAATCAAATAAAGGTTACACAAATCACAGACTACAAATTGCAAACCTCAAAATCAGCACAAGCTCTATTTGTGCTGTGGGCAGAGAAAAGGCTTCCTCTGCGTCTGTCACGTTGCGAGGGTGTGGAGATGATGGACCATGTGTGGTGAAGAGTTCCAGGAGGCAGGAATGCAGGCACGGATGAAGTAAAAATGGGTTTAATGACAGGATACGGCAGGAACGAGAACAACACGACAAACAACAATGATCTGACAAAGACTGGCACAAGGAGGGAGGTATAAATACACAGGGAAATCAGGAACACATGGGCAGGTTAACAAGGGGTCGGTGAGAACAATAAGGGCTAATCAGGGCAGGAGAGGAACACAGTCAGGAAGGCAGGGGCAGATCGTGACAGTACCACCCCCCCACCCCCCACCCCTTTTAAGGGGCGGATACCAGACGCCCACAAGGCCACACAACACAGAAGACAGGGAACACTTGACTTGGGACAGGAACACTTGACTGCAGCAGCCGGCGTGGGACCCAGCAGAGAACTGCAGCAGCCGGCGTGGGACCCAGCAGAGAACTGCAGCAGCAGGCGAGGGACCCAGCAGAGACTGCAGCATGAAGGATCTGCAGGCATAGACCCTGCAGGCATGGACCAGGAAGTGGGACGAAACAGCAGCGACGCGAGGAAACCAGGAGCGGCAGCAGGTACTCTGCAACAGTCCTGAGCAGGTGCACACTCTGACTCGACTGGATCCAACAGGCAGAAGCTCGGGTGAAGGGAAGCAGAACACGGAGCAGGAAGACCAGCCCTACCACCCCGGAGAATGTTGGCGTGCGTAGGGGGTTTTACCTCCAAAACTCCAGGATCCTCGGCTTCCATCGGAGAAAACAGGATGGGGCAGAAAGCAGGAGAGGAGAAGGGGTTCGACCACCCCGGGAACGAGTAGGATGCGCCGAAACCCCCTCAATGGTTCTACCACCCCGGAAACAGGTAGGATGCGCCAAAAAACCCTTGAGTCAGAATCTCCCTCTGCTAAGCGGAGAAAAAAGAAAAAAAAAATCCTCCAGAACAGATGTTGCAGAGCTCACCACAGGTCCAGGTTGGTCAGATCATTCTGTCACGTTGCGAGGTTGTGGAGATGATGGACCATGTGTGGTGGAGAGTTCCAGGAGGCAGGAATGCAGGCACGGATGAAGTAAAAGTGGGTTTAATGACAGGATACGGCAGGAACGAGAACAACACGACAAACAACAATGATCTGACAAAGACTGGCACAAGGAGGGAGGAATAAATACACAGGGAAATCAGGAACACATGGGCAGGTTAACAAGGGGCAAGTGAGAACAATAAGGGCTAATCAGGGCAGGAGAGAAACACAGTCTGGAAGGCAGGGGCAGATCGTGACAGCATCACTCTCACACACAGCATCTCCTTGTGTAAAGTGCTCTGAATAGTTGAAGGATGAACAGTGACTCCATGTCAAAAGTGTGACCAACTCACTACTTTGCAAGTCACAAGTAAGTCACAAGTCTTTCTAGTCAAGTGTCAAGTCAAAGTCAAAGACAACCAAGTCCAAGAAGAGTCCAAAGTCAGTGATGTGGAAGTCCAAGTCAAGTCCAAGTCCTTAACTTTGAATTTTCAAGTCATATTCAAGTCATCTGTCTAACTTAAATTTAATGACAACGATAATACATAATTTCCAGAAATAATGCTTATTTTAAAGTTTTATTTGCTCAGTCAAGCAGAAAGTGCAACTCAAATGGATTCTAAACTGCATTTAGCAATACAAAATCAAACCCAGAACGAATAATGATTTATGGATTTTGTCCATGTCGTGCAGCTTTTGTGCTAAAATGTCAAATATGCTCAAGTCATCATCAAGTCAACAGATGCAAGTCGATTCAAGTCGCAAGTCATTGGCATTCAAGTCTGAGTCAAGTCATAAGTCTTTATAGATTTTATCAGGTCAAGTCAGAAGTCATTCAAATAATGACTCGAGTCTGACTCGAGTCCAAGTCATGTGACTCAAGTCCACACCTCTGCTCCATCTGCAGCAAGATGATGTTGTGGGTATTTGGTGCTGACTCTCTGTTCTCACCATTCTTCCCTTCTTTTTATCTGAGATTTTTCTTGGTCTACCACTTTAAGCCATAACTTGAACTGTGTCTGTGGTCTCCATTTCCTCAGTATGTTCCTAACTGTGGAAACAGACAGTTGGAATCTCTGAGACATCTTTCTGTATCCTTCCCCTAAACCATCTTTGTATTCATGTGAGAGTTGTTCTGAGACCCCCATGTTGCTACTCTTCAGAGAATATTCAAAGAGGAGGGAATCTTATAATTGGTCCCTTAAATACTCTCATAACTGGATTCACCTGTGTATGTAGGGTTGTCACGGTAACCGGTGTAGCGGTAAACCCCGGTAAAAAAGTTGACAACAATAATAACCGTATTGTTTTTTTAAAAATATATTATCTCGGTGGATTACCGTGGCTGCGGTGTAGGTGCGGTGACCCTTACCAGCCACCGTGTCATCTGCTGAAGTTGCCGGCGGCACATGCGCACTTTTTGGTTTACAGCCAAAACTTTCTTTAAGCTAAAGCTGAAAAAATGGCCAAAAGAGGAGACGGCAGCGCTCAGGACATTTATTATCCCTCAAAGAAGACAAAGTGGGAAGTACGGGCATTTTTTGGATATTTGAGGAATGCCGAG